GGTTTGGGGTGTTTCTGGCTGAACTTTTTTTTGGGGGTGAAACCCGGCGCCTTCCTTACCTTGGTGGGGAAGTAGCGGCTGAATTTGAATTTTTTCAGGGTCAAAGTCATGGAGTAGGTTCCAAAGAAGAGGATGAAGGACATGAGGGCCAGGTCGGGCACGAATTTACAGGATTTCCCCACTAAGCTGCCGCCGTATTTGAGACATTCCTTCTTACTCAGCTGAGTCCAGTCCAGAGCTGTGAGGTTAATAGCATTGTACTGGGGAGAAACCCCCCCCAAAAAAGCAAAATTAGCATTTTATACAATTACAGCGTGCAGCAAAAGGTGTATTTCCCCACCAAAAAAAAAAGCCACATTAGCATTGTTAGCAATTATAACATGCAAAGAATTGGGTATTTCCTGGTCAAACCCCCAAAATTAGTGTTTTAAGACACTGTCGTGTGCAAGGAAAAAGGTATTTCGTCTTTATAAAAAAGCAAAATTAGTATTTTAAGGAATTATAATGTGCAAGGAAATGGATATCCCCAAAATTAATGGTTTAGGGAACTGCAGCGTGCAAGGAAGGGGATATTTCCCAGGGCTGCTGCTGCCAGGAGCCCTGTAACCACAAGAAAATCTTGGCGCTGCTATTAATTTGGGCAAAAAAAGTGGGGATTTGGTGCTGCCAAGCCCAACTGTGACCCCAAATCAACACAGCTCCCATGTTTCCCTCGCTCCGACCCGGCGCCTGTCGCTCCCTGGATGCCCAAGTCCCTGGGATGTGCCCTCCCTCCTCCCAGACTTCCCATCGGGATGAGCAAACCCACTTACCAGAGAAACGTTAGTGGTGTTTGGTGCCACTGGAGCTGAAGCATCGAAGAAGGTCGCGTTGGCTGCGGGAAAGGAGTTGGTTATTGAGGTTTTTGGCTAATATCGAGGCTGTGGTGTTAAAAGCAGCCAGGCTTTGCCCAGAGAGTCACAGCTCAGTCTGGGAGCAGCAAACGTGGGGTCAAGAGCATCCTCCGAGAGCCACGCGGGGATCAGCATCCCGAGGATTTGGGGAGAAAACCCCTATTTCTAACCCCACAGCGACTTCTCCCTGATTAATCCCATGTGCCAGTGGGGAACGCGGTGTCTCCTTCAGCGGCGTCTCCCTCCGGGGCTGGCGAGGGCCAGGGGGGAGCTGGATGTTCACAGGAGCTTCC